AGTGGGAGGCCTATGTGGTTTTCTGTTTACAACTTCACTTCTACAGTCTTAATCTCTATGAGAAAAGAATAATAGTAGTTTTGTAGCTTTTCACATTGGTTTCACACCTTTGGCCTTTTTTTTTATCCTGACAGCAATAAGAATTAGAAAAGACGTAACCTGCATATTTGAGTTATTTTCTGTCTCTAAGAATAAAAGAATACTTATTTCTCTGGGCTTTAGCTTCCAAAGTAGTTTTAAGGGAAGCTTCCATTGAGCATTGTTGTGCTTCTCTTGGGATCATAACCATGAAAAATAATGCAGGGTTTCAGAGAAGGAAAAATAGTTTGTACTTTTTATGAAGAGATATTTTTAAATCACAGGGCCTTTAAAATGTCAAAGCGTGGAAAAACATGCCCTATCAATTTAGTTTTCTTCTTTTGCTCTAAGTTTTGTGTCCTTTTTGATCACAACAGTCTCCCAAGTCACTCTGTTCCTCCTTCGACTCTGATGTCACAGATCTTCATCCAGGGACCTGTCTAGGTCTTCTATGGTTTGGCCAAGGAGAGAGATCCTGGGATCTGACCTGGCATCAGACCTAGCAGGTATGTCAACTGTCCCTCTCAGCCACCTTTTTTTAGCATGGAAAATTGCCTTCCTATCTCTGTTCCATGCTGAAGTTAGCAGAGTATTTCTGCAGTGCTTTGGAACTGGGCAGTAGGCCCTCAGAGACCACCATTTTTCCAGTATAACAAAGGAGGAAACCAGTGCACTAAATTCTGAAGTCCTCCCCGATCTCTTGAGTCAGCAGTAACCTCCAATCTATTGAGATATCAAATACAAACATTTGAAGACGATCAAATTCCAACAAACATTTGGAGATGATCACATTCCACAGAGTATGTGAGTGGCCCATTCTATCTTCCCAACAAGGCCCACAGGGAGATTCTCTTATACCACATTTTGCCGTCCTTCAACTAAGAGCAGTAAACCTGGACAGGAAAAGAACATGTGATTCAAGTCCTTCAGATACCTCAGGACGACAGAACACCTGAAAGAAACACTTAAAAGCTAAGGCACAATCATTATTGCTAGCATCTCTGTAGTTCAGGAAGGAGGAATAATTATAAGATGTTTCTGTTCTATTTCAATGCATAGAACCACACAACCAAAAGGGGAAAATTTTACTGAGAACCTATAGCAAGCTAACTATGCATAAAATAACCTATTTTTGTTACTTTATCTAATTATCACTAATATTTAATTCCACTTTGCAATTATCCAAGGAAGCCAAGTATGGTGCAATGGCATCAGTCAGGAGGACATCAAACAGAAGGACCACTGCAAGAGTGAGGCCAGTTTAGGCTGCACAATGAATTCAAGACCAGTCTGGGATATATAGAGAAACCCTTCTTAAAATAAAAATTATCCAGGGAATTGAAGGCCAGGAAAGTTTCATTCATTGCATTATGATCACGTGAGCAGTAAGTAGTAAAGCTCAGAACTCAAATGCGACCAACTGAAACAATTCTGAACCAAGGCTTGACTTCTAGGCTTATGGGGAAGGGCCAAGGCTGTTGTACTCACTAAAGGGAATGTGGAAATTCAAAAGATGGGAAATGTTGTGATAGACCACTGATGAATTTGTCCACCTGAGGGTATAGGAAAACAGAACAAAAACTTTAAAATATTTACAGTGTCAGAAAAAAATGTATTCTGTTATAATAGTGGTCCCTAGACGTTTCAGGACCAGAGACAGCTTTGAGGAAGAGAATTTTTCCATGAACTGGACTGGGAGGATAATAGTCTTGGCAGGATTCATAGGAGGGCACAAGGTAGACCCCGTGAATGTGCAAGTCACAGCAGGCTTTGGGTTCCTAGGAGGATCTAATACCACAGCTGATCTGACAGGAGGCAAAGCTCAGGTGGTGATTTTAGTCATTATGACTCACTGCAAATACAGACAATGCTTTGTTCCCTTGCCAGTGCTCACCTGCTGATGTGTGGCCCATTCAAACAGGCCAGGCCTCCAGCTCTGTCCACTGGGGGCAACTGTATTACAATAATTCGCAAGGGGGCCCAAGTTTACAATAACTGTTTCAAAGAGAAACTTCTTGAGGGAGAAAAAAAGATGTTTAGGGAAGAGAGACCAATTCCTTTTATTCAGAGACTGCATTTCAAGTGAGTCTATGGTATCCTCTGAACTTTAGCAGCCAGGGGAAAGAGTCAAAGGAGACAGGAGGAGTGGGGTAACTGAAGGAAAAAAGAAAATCTATAGGGTAAACTTGCAAGAAAGTTTATAGCAGAGAAAGTAATATCTATTAAAAATATGAAGAAAGTAGAGTCTGCTAACAATAATGAAAATTCAAAACCATGCCAAAATATGTTTGTGCTTGTAAAAGTAAAAAGATTAAATTTTAAATAGTCATGTCTTACATTTGGTATGAATATGGCTAGTCACCTATTTTTTGACTGCTGATTGGAGTAAATGTATACAGTTGCTTTGTAAAGCAATTTTGTGATGTTAAATTCTGGAGATATTATTTACTTCTAGTATACTTATTTATTGCGATATAACAAATTACTCCAAAACTTAGCAATTTAAAACAACAATAAATTGGGCATGGCGACACATAGTACTTGGGAGGTTGAGACTGAAGGACTGTGAATTCAAGGCAAGCCTGGATTACATAGTGAAGACTTATTTCAAAAATAATGAACAAGTAAATAAAACAATAAACATATTACCACATGTAATTTCTGTAGTAGTAAGTTTAAAACTGGCTTAATTGGGTGTTTCAAGCTTAGGAGTCTCTCCGAAATTTTCCATCAACACTTGGGCCAGAGCTTCAGTCATTTAGAAGCTTGAGTTTCCAAAGATCAGAATATCCCCTTCCAAGGTGGCTCATTAACATGACAGGGTCACAACTGGCAGGAGGGCACTGTTCCTCACTGTGCCCTCCCCTGGGCCATCTGAAGATCTTCACAACAATGTACTCAGCTTTTTCCAAGGTTAAGTTACCAAAGAGATAGCAAAGGTGGACACTACACAGTTCGTGATCTAGGAAGTCACACGCCTCATTTCTACAATATCTTTTAAAGTGGGAGGGGACTAGCCAGGGGCATAAATATCAGAAGAAAGGATCATTAGGGACCATTTTAATGACTGGTTACCACAGAGAGTGCTTACTTTATGCTTAATAGATCTGGACCTTCAAGAGTTTAACAATTAGCAGGCTGGGCCTACTCAATCTATTAATGGCATTTCACTCTACATCTGTATTAGCTTATTCTTGGTACTACTTTTCCTGATGGCACAATTCCCCATGTTGGCTTCCTTATCTTATTTGTTAACAAGCAGAGCAATAAGAAGACGTGGTTGCTTAAAAGAAGCTGGGAAAATAGAAATAAATCTTTACTGAGGAATATTTTTAGGCTGATAGCCTTTAGTTCTAATGTTCTGGAAAAGTACTTATAGCTGACCACGATATGATTTATAACAGTGGATTTTTCACAAGAGTAAGACTGGTGGCTAGACATTAACAGGCCTAAAGGACAAATGGGGGGAATGTAAAATAGCATGTCTTACCAGTTATAGTTAAGAAACAAAGAGTTCAATGTATAATACATTTATAATCATTTGTTAGGTCTAAAGCCGTCCCACAAGCACAATGACATCTTAAGGTTACACATTGTATTCAATCCTTCTGGTATGTGGCCACCCGGCTGGGCTGTTCATTTGCAAAATATTGTGTGCTGTATTCCTGGGTACCATGGTCTACATCCAGTGATATTAGAAAAAGGGACATTCTTTAATGACCCTTCCTCATCTGCCTGGGGACTTAGACAAAATCTCAGGGAAAGAAGATGAAGAAAACTAGTGTTTTAGTTACTTGTTTGTCATGGGACACAATATCTGACACCTGAAACTTACAGGAGAGGTTTACTTTGGCTCACAGTATTAAAGGTTTCAGTCTATAGTTGGCTGGCCCAAAGACAGGACAACATGGCAGAGGGGCATTGCAGAGGAGAAAGAGCTCACAGCATAACAGCAGGAAGACACAAAGGGAGAAAATGATAGATGTAGGCCACAAACCCACTGATCCACCTACTTCAACCAGGCTTTAACCTCCCAACTTCACATTTAGCTATAAAATCATCAACAGATTAGCAAAGCCTCATGATCCAATCACCTCCCTCAAACCTCACCCATAAGCACATGAGGCTTCAGGGAACATCCAGTTAAAAACCTTAACTCTGTAAGTTTCTGCCCTCCCATTAGAAGGGGATTTGAAATATAAAAAAATTGTATTACTATAAAGTTTACATTCATTACAGTTTGTAGAATGACACTCTTAATTGCCATGTTTGTTACTCAGTGAACATCTGTTAAGTGAATAATAGAATGAAAAATAAAAGACAACACAGATTCAAGTTTGCCCAGGGTAGATGCTGTTTGATGAGGCAGAATCAGTTAGGATGGACAAAGAGAAAGACAAGGACTGCTGGGCATGGCAACACACAACTATAATTTCAGAATTCTGGGAGGCTGAGGTAGGAGGATCATAAATTCAAACTCATCCTGGGCAATTTAGTGACTTGGCAAGACTGTCTCAAAATTAAAAAAAGGGCTGAGGATGTAGCTGAGTGTAAAGGCCCTGGATTTGCCGTGTTCAGTCCCTATTACTGGAAATACGCGCTGGAAGTGGTGATAACCCTCTCTCTGTTAGTAAGTGGAACATTTTCCTGGAGGTCTTTTCTCTAAGCAATGTAAGCAGGGTTTTACTTTCTTGCCTTCCCAGTGAAGAGGTGGGAAGATGATGGCTCAAAAGAAAAACCAAGTTTAGTTTCGGGTAACGTGTGTGAAAGCGTTTAGCACTGTGGCTGATATTTAATAATGAAGTTTAATATGTCTTACTGTCAGCTCTTTTGTACCAATCTAGTTCATCCAATCGGGTCGCGACCCCGCCCCTTCTGGGCCCGCCTCCTCGTAGAGTTTGACGCTTCCTCCGTTTCCGGTGTCTGGACCCCGGAGCAAGTGGCTTCCGGTGTCATGGCGCCCTGAGGTTTCGGGAGTCCGCTAGGCGGCTGCAGGCCTTTCCCTGCGGAGCCGCTGGTCCGGCTTACGGGGATGTGACCACAGGCCTTTCCAGCCTGCCTCGGGCGTCGTGTCAGCTCCCTTGTCAGCGCCTCAGCCCACACCGATGGCGGGGTCCGGCTGTGCGTGGGGAGCGGAGCCACCGCGGTTTCTGGAGGCCTTTGGGCGGCTGTGGCAGGTACAGAGCCGCCTGGGTAGCGGCTCCTCGGCCTCGGTGTATCGGGTGCGCTGCTGCGGCACCCCTGGCTCGCCCCCCGGCGCTCTCAAGCAGTTCTTGCCTCCAGGAACCACCGGAGCTGCGGCGTCGGCCGCGGAGTATGGTTTCCGCAAAGAGAGGGCGGCGCTGGAGCAGTTGCAGGGTCACAGAAACATCGGTAATTGTCGCTGCTTCCCTTCTTGTCCAAGTCCCAGTCCAAGCAAGCAGGCACTTGTAGGCCTGGAGGTCTCTTGCGTCAGGCAGAAGCAGGTTTGGCCCCTCGTTATCATCTGCTGTAGGCCCCTTTCCCATCCACCTTTCGTTTTATTGCAGCCTGCCTTGAAGGGCGGTGGAGTCTGTTGTGTGCTTTGCCCTGTGTCCCATAGTAAATGCATTTACCGGGTTTCTTAGAATACCGCACTCATTAGCGTAGAGAAATATCTTTTCTAGTGAAAAGAGGTGTCTTTGCTGGATTGTCATCATTCCATGCCAGTAAGAAATGGGAAATATTCTAGAGTTATGACATCACAGCTACCATAATAACTTCCATGCTATCAACTGTTACATATTTAATGTGCATTTGAAAGAAATGACTCAATATTGCACAGCATTCTTTGGAAGCATGAAATTTAGGAATCCTTTTTTTTGCTTTGGTAAGATTGTTTCATGACTCACTCAGAATGTTACATATATAATGAACATTGTTGCTTATCCATGAAAACAATCTTAATTGTCATTACACCAGCAGGGAGCTTATAATTAGTGATAGCTTTGGTTAAGGACTTTTGGGCAAGTATGATCCTTCTTTAATTGAAGAATGACCTTTTTAATAATATAGTGTTTGAGAAGAATTGCCTATCACTGCATGTTTTTTAAGCTTGCTAAATGGTGTATCTTTATAACCTTGCTAGTGAAAACAGAATCTTAAGACTTTTTGTTTCAGCACGAGTAGGTTACAGTGTTGTAGAGTGCTGTTTTGGATTAAAAAGCAAACTTCAATTCGTTTTTTAAAAAAAGAGTTACTTTAACATTACGATTTTTATTTTTCATAATACAAATTTGGCACCGGAGTGCAAGTTTATTCACCACTGATTGCTTGTTGAAACGCAGTTTGAATCACTATGCTTTATTTAATATCTTTGATTTGTAATAAACTGTTGAAGGTTGTCTCATTTTTTAAAAAAATAATTTAGTTGGCTGAAGGTCTTACAGGAAAAATAGTGGAAGCTTGTTCAACCACATTACTCTTATCTAGGCTATTTCAAATTTATATTGCAGAATTACGTAGTTCAGCAGTCATTTACCGAGTGATTTTTTAAAGGTGTTGTAATTTGTTACTTTTTCTAGTGACTTTATATGGAGTCTTTACAATCCACTTCTCTCCAAATGTGCCATCACGCTGTCTGTTGCTTGAACTCCTGGATGTCAGTGTTTCGGAATTGCTTTTATATTCCGGTCACCAGGGTTGTTCCATGTGGATGATACAGCACTGTGCCAGAGATGTTCTGGAGGCCCTTGCTTTTCTTCATCATAAGGGTTATGTCCATGCAGACCTCAAGCCAAGAAACATATTGTGGAGTGCAGAGAATGAATGTTTTAAGCTCATTGACTTTGGACTTAGCTTTAAAGAAGGCAATCAGGTAAGAAATCCCTTTTCTTTTCCCTTACAGTTTAAAATCTAGTGATCTAAACTACATATTTGGAAATAACAAGGACATTTTAGTTGGAACTGAAATATTTTTAGTGAAAACACCAAAATACCTGGAGATGAAAGCAAATCAAAAGATTTTTAGGGCTAACACATGAAGAAAGGATATGTGTTTGGATTAGGAAGGAGAAACTAGTAGGGCATAGGAGTTAAAGTACTTAACCTACATAGAATGCTCTTTTTATTTTATTTTATGAGCATTTGGTTAGTTACTGAGTTACTGTTCTGGTGTCTTCAGTATTTCATGGAAAAATGCATCTGACAGATCTGGTATATCATTCTCCCACGTTTATCAGCTCTTTGAAGAGTGTCCTTTTGTATCAGCAGTGCCTAATATGTAAGAAACTGCCTACAGAAGACTTCTGTATGAGCAGCTGTATAGAAAGTATATAGCTTGTCTGTGGGAATTTTCCAATTAATGAACCAAAGACTGAGAATTTTTGAAATTCAGTTTGGCAGTTTTACTGCATATGTAGAGAAATAAATACACTCTGTTGAGATAGATGGAAAGTGCACAGCTTTTTAATGGTTATAAGTTTATTCATTTTCTTTAGGATGTGAAGTATATTCAGACAGACGGGTATCGGGCTCCAGAGGCAGAATTGCAAAATTGCTTGGCCCAGGCTGGCCTGCAGAGTGACACAGAATGTACCTCAGCTGTTGATCTGTGGAGCCTAGGAATCATTTTACTGGAAATGTTCTCAGGAGTGAAACTGAAACATACAGTCAGATCTCAGGAATGGAAGGTAAACTGCACTAGTGTTTTGCTTTGGGGTCCTTAAGAATATTCACTTTATGATGATTTTTATTAGGGAATTCAGTTGTATCCTTTTCTCCAAATTCTTCTTTCTGTATTTATGGTACCTTAAATGCTACTACTTATTCTAGTTATGTGCTAATGAATATTGCATTTTTACTGGTCTTACCCTGGGTTCTAGCATGTTGTGTTTGGTTAAACACTTTAATGATGAGCTCATTTTCCTGAAGAAGCGAAGTGATTTCTTGGCATAGTAAATTAGTTAATATGAGTTTCCAAGTAATATTAGTATATATTAGTATAATAATTAGTAATAGAACTATAGGCTAGAAAATAATCTCTACCCAACACTTTATAGTTAAAAACAGTAATTTAATATATAATCCAATTAAGTTCTTTGAACTGTTCTGTGAGGATAGAGTGGATATTGCTTATTTTTTTTAATCCAAGAGAGACTTGAATTTTTTTTCTTTGTGCTAGGGATCGAACTCATGACCTCGTGCTTACCAGGCAAGTGCTTGAGCCTGTGAGCTAAATCCCAGGCCCTTGCTTATTTTTTTAATAAATAAAAAATAATCCAGCACTCTGGGAGGCTTAGAGTAGAAGGATTGCATATTAAACCCCACCAACTTGGTGAATGAATGAGACACTGTCTCAAAAGGAAGAATAAAAAACAGATCAATGTGAAGCCCCTGCATTAATTCCCAGTACAGAAAAAACAAAGACAATCTGGTTGTGCAGACCTGGGCCCCAAATTCTATTCCTTTTAAAGGTTCCTCAGTTTACACTGCTTCATGTCTATTTATATTACATATATGGTATGGTAATATGATCATTGTTTCGGTGGAAACATTGAATTTAACTTCTAAACCTCTGACATTGAAATTAAGAATTGTTTTCAAATACTGGGGGACTTTAATGTTATGATCATACCAGTATCCTTTGGCCTTGGTTTGATAAATAATATAAAGCTTTGGAGTTATTATTGATCTGAAATTAAATTCTTCAGAATTAAACAAATATTTAATATGAAGTGTTTTCATTAAGTAATAACTTTTTTGAGTTTTTAATATATAACATATGTCTATTAGAGTATAAAATAGTTTTATTTCTATTAAAACTATCAATTACTGATGTTTGGTGTAGCAGTTTCTGAAAGGAATGCATTTAACAGCCTAAATAAGTAAATTCAGTGCTTATTTTCAGCCAAATAAAAAAATGTTACCATGAGGTAAAACCAGTATCATTCTTTATTGTTAGTATTCCAAACAGTCAAGAGGCTAATCCAAATATAGATTGATTAACTGAGTTAATTTTGACTGTCTGTGAACCTTTTGAGATGTGTTTGGCCCAGAGCTTATTAGAATTAGGTCACTTTCAAATTCAAAAATGACATGTGGATGTACATGTATTAATGGAGTCCTGAATGTAGATCTTTCTAGGTAAAACATTTTGTTTTATCAGTTACTATAAGGCAAAATTGCCCACTGGTATGTTTAGGACTTATGTCTCGCTTTCACTTCTTACTGTTCTATAGGTTTTCTAAACCATGCTGAATGTTCTAAAGAATGAGAACAATAACATATCTCATAACAATATTGAGGTTAAAAGATGAAATGATGCTTAGTGTTTAGCATAGTATATCACCCTGGTAAGAATTCAGTAAATTTAAGTGATAATATGGTAGCAGTCCATTTTCTTTTGCTTTGTTTTGTTTTGTGCAGTACTGGGAATTGAACCACATGATCTTATTGGGCTATATCCTTTTTTTTACATAAGGTCTCACGAGGACACTAATATGCCTAGGTTGGACTTTTAATTTGTAATCCTCTTGCCTCAGCTTTCCAGAGATTACAAGCATATGCCACCACATGCAGCTTGTGTCAGGTGTTTAACTCATGTATACTAGTCCACATTCTAGCATAGCACACAAGGAAAAACAGTGGTGTTCCATAGAAATTAAGAGTATTAATAATGTTGCAACATTTTAATACTTATTTTCTCAGTGATAGATTATTTTGATCCAAAAATCGACTGAAGACTGTTAGACACTGACTCACTTGTTACACATTCATTTTCTCACCTTGCATTAAATTGTATTTTTACATGGTTGCTTGGGTTAAACGTTCATAGAATGTCAGGTACTGTGTTAGGTACCGAGAATAGAGCAAAAAATATGTTCCTCTTCTCCAGAACTTATGATTATGTGTAGAGTCTCCTCTGTTAAGTTCGTAAGTGCTCAGGAGTGCTCAGCTCTCAAGTTTTCTCTGGTGTATTACTTACAAACAGTGCTCTAGTACTCCATACACACAAATTGAATTTGAATAACCTAAAGGCTTTTCTCTTTTTTTAAGGCAAACAATTCTGCTATTATTGATCACATATTTGCCAGTAAAGCAGTGGAGAATGGTGCAATTCCAGCCTATCACCTAAGAGACCTTATCAAAAGGTACATTACCTGTGCTGTAAGCTTGTTTTTGCACACATACACTATGTGAAATAGATTTCTGTTATTTCTCATTTGTTTGGTCATTTAAGAGATTTGCTTGATCATTTAAGAGAAATAACAATTTTAGCTTAGATATCCCACCTAGGCAGGCTTCTCATGAGAACCATGAGACTATTCAAATAGTTTCACAAATTTATTTTCAAAATAGCATTGTTTATTCACAGTGGGTACCAGATGTTAAACTCTTCTGGTAGATGCTTATTCAGTGGAAGGTAGGTGCTGGGCCATTGTACTTTCGACCTTTTGTATATGTGTCAGTATTATATATTTGATAGAGAGCAGTTTTTAAAGAGAAACTTTTTATTCATAAAGGACCAGATTTGTTTTTGGACTAGTCAAAAAAAATTTTTTTAATGAAGTAGTTATCAATTGTATTTAAAAACATTAGCATTGAAAACTCTGCGAGAATAGATACAGGGTTTCTAATATTTGAATAAATTGAAATATAATAGGTATTTGTGAAATAACAAATGCTATAATATGTATTAACAAATACTAGGCTTTTTGAGTTTCTAGCATAATGATCTAAATAATAATTACGATGCTTGAAAAACGTGACTCTTTTGGTTAAGTAACATTATTGTAGTTTTTTTTTGAAATATTGGCCTTAGAAATACTCAAAATAGTTTGAACTTTCTATTTTTAAATAATTAAAACTCACCAGAAGTTGGACTATGTTATATGGACCTCCAGATTTCACCCAGTTTCTCCTAACGATAACACCTGACATCACTAAGTAGAGTATCCAAACTGTAAATCAGTGTTGGTGCAATCCACAATATTCATGCAGATTTCACCAATTTTACACATACTTTTTTGTATATGTGTATGTTTTCCTTATTGTTTTAAAATATCCGTGACTGATTGATAATAGATGTTGCAAATTCCAGTTCACATGGAGGAAATAGCAGTGTAGAATTATATAATGGACTTTTTTCTTGAAGTCAAATTATTTATTAAATTCTAGTGTTGATTTTTTAAAGCAATAGTCCTCCTCCATTATACAAATAAAACTAAATTTATTTACTACAAAAAATTGTGTTGAGGAAATAAAAAATATAAACTGAGTTTCTAATGTTAATGTTTCAGTATATTAAGATATTTTTCTGCGAATTGTGTTATGTATGAGCAAATTATTTGAACTTTTCAAATATACTCTTATAAAACACAGCTATGGAAAATGTTAATAAAACAAGTTTGTAGCTTGATGGATCCTTAGATATGTTGTAATCAACATTCTGTTGCAGGAATAAATCACTTTACCAGCTATCCCAGAGTTCTGTCTCTCTGTCCCAATCTCAGGTCCCTTTTTCCCTAAAAGCAACCATTGTGTTGACTTTATGATAATCACTTCTTTTTTTTATATCCTTAAACTATAGTCTAGTTTTGTTCTTCAAAACAAAGCCTTTTAGGTCTTTTTAAATCAAAAGGGTCCCTTTCTATTTCATTCCCGTTTCCTGTGATTTATCTGGTGTACAACTTAGATTGTTGACTCAATGCAATTTTCCACAGTCTGAATTTTGGTGTGACTTCATCACATGTTGTGACCATCATCTTGGTGTAATTTCATGTATTTCTGTTTAATTCCTACAAATTGAGAGCTATATCTAGAGAGTTTGTGTGTTTTTAAAGATTGTAGATGACACTTTTATAAGGAGGCAAATGATACAGTTATCTCTGTTTTGTGAATTAGTAACTATTGATACTTAATCCTTTAGATCCCTTACTTTGTTAGGTGTCAGCATTTGTTACTCATTTTGTTAACTAAAGACAAATACTGTATTTGATTCTCTCTTTGCTAATTTTCAAGATAAATCAGTTGGCTCCTCATTATCCTCCAAAGGTGATCATTCCTTTTTTTAATAACTCAAATTATCAGTATAAATGGGTGAATTTAAACTTATTTGATGTATTTTAGTGTGTTGCAATTTTTCTTCTATTTAAGGCTGAAATTGGCATATCATTTATGATTGGGAACCTCTGCATACTGGTTTTGGCAGGTGATTATTTTTATAGCTTCCTTGTTATGTAGTATGACAAGATGCTTCCAGTTCATTTTATTCTGCCCCAGACTTAGCCATTCTTCCAAGAATTCTGTTTTCTTTTTCTCTCTCTCTCCTGGTAGAAAGTTGTGATTTTAAAACCAGTCTAGATATTGAAAACATTCATTGGTACCAGAGTGAACATTATTTCCAAGCTTTTTAAATAGACAAAATTCATTCTGAGATTTCCAACTTGAATTTAAAACTACAGGGCTTTTGTTCTGCTTCTAGTTATATATGTATGTCTTTTTTTTTTTTTTTTCCACATCAGAATTCTGGTTCTTAAGTACAAAAAGAGAATACTAAAATTAGAATATTTTATAATTTCATTTATTTATTCCAATTATACAGTCTCAGAAAAACTGTTCTCTAGTAAGGGTACTTTAAAACAGTTTTAATATACTTTTCCCATTCTTTCCCCACTGAAAAAGTAGCTGTATCTGCATTGTCAGATTACATGCCAGTATACTCTAACCTGTTCTAATAATCTCTCATTTAATCTTAGTATACATGTAATGATGTATGTAATAGTCATCACTGATTCATTTGATGTCTCTCTAGTCATTTTAGTTTCCTGTGTCTTGTCTACTACGAGATCACAATATTCCCTGAGTTTTGGCACGTCAATAGTGTGTTACACTTGAACTCTACTACTCATTTTTGATGGATGTGCCAATCCTTGGCATATGTTCTTCTTTCCTTGAATGTCTTCAACATGTTACTACTTTTTCTTCTGACACAGTGATTATGCTGAAAAGTTTGATGATTCTTGAATTTTTTTTTTATTAAAAGTTACCTCGTTGGATTGGGGATTAGCAGTAGAGTGCTTTCTGGCATGTCTAGGGCTCTGAGGTCAACCTCCAGCACTACAAAAACAGTAACAACAACAAAAGACAGTTCAGTGGATTTCATCTTTTTCTTCAGTCTAATGATTTTACCAGAATGTATGTTGATTATGATTTTCATGGTCTATATTCTGAGAGACACGTATGGTTTTGGTATATAGTTTTAGATCCTTTTTTTGGTTTAGAAAACTTTATGTAATTTTTGTATTTGTTACATTTTTCTATTTTTCTGCTTTGAATTTTAGGCATTCTTGTATAATCTTACTTTATGAGATCCTTTTTCTATTTTTAATATCTTCTGCTCTTACCTCATTTTTGAGATTTTTAAATTTTGATTTGTGTTACTTTTTCATATATATCATTTAAAAATATCTTAAGTTCATTTTGAAGCAGTTTGTTTTTGTTCATGTCTTTCTGGTATATAGTCACTGTTCAAGAGGTATTATAATTCCTTTTCTTGTTTATTTTTATGTGAAATTAATTTTCCTATATTTTCAGAAAGGGTAGTTGGAATAGTTTTTTAATTATGTAGGGTTCGTTCATCTGTTGTTTTGTATAATGTTCAAAAAAACCAAAATGGCTCCCTCTCAAATGAGGACTAGTTGTGGAAGGGAGCTGGTCTTGGTGTCTAGATTTAAGAGAAGCCTTGTGCTCACCTGGTGCAGAATGTATAACCCCTTGTAGTTTTAGCTACTTTTCTCAAATTGGTCAGCTGTGCTTCCTAATGAGTATCTCGTGGCTATTTTGGATTATTTTTTCAGCTTCATTAGAAGAACAGTTTTTTTTTCTGATTTCTTACGAACATGCCAACAGAGTACAAATCTTACAGGTATTAATGGTTTGTCTCTATGATTTTGTTGTGTTATCATTGGGTTTTGGTTGTTCTATCAACAAGTTGTTTTATTATTTGGGGAATTCGACAAGATTCAACAACTATCCGCCAATGTAATCATTTTGTTTTAAATTGTATTACCCAAATTGGTTTCTAGCTGTCTTTTTATTCAGTAGAGTGTGTGGGCTACTTCCTTATGTCTCACTTATTAATAAAAACATTATATTACATCATAAATATATCATGTGCTGTGGTTTATCACTTCATTTATTCATAAGTAAGAATTACATTGTTAATAGATGAATGGCTGGTTAAACATGCTAATATCATTAGTACTGTTGTGAACATTTATACCTTTTTATCTTTAATAACTGCATTTTCGAAAGATTCATCAGAAATTGTAAAGATTCTACCTGTGTTTATGTTTTAGCATGCTGCATGATGATCCAAGCAGAAGGATTCCTGCTGAAATGGCCCTGTGCAGCCCCTTCTTTAGCATTCCTTTTGGTAAGTGGTGTAAGTCTTTATGCTTTTCTTGGTCATTTGATAATCTTTCATTGTACATTTTGATCTCTTTGGTGTGTTACTCATCAATTTATTTGGGATCAGTTTATTACACTTAACTATAATGTAATGAACTTTAACAGCCCCTCATATTGAAGATCTGGTGATGCTTCCTACTCCAGTGCTGAGGCTGCTGAATGTGCTGGATGATGATTATCTTGAGAATGAAGAGGAATATGAAGGTCAGTTCTTCATAGATTTTACTTAGTGTCTTTTTCTTAACTGACTCTAGGGACGGGGATATAGATCGATGGCACAGCTCCTGCCAAGTACAAGGTCCTGAATTCGATTGCCAGTACAAAAAAAAAGAAAGCAAGACCTAAGCCTAGAATAGACATATCCATAAGATTCCCTTATTTTCCTAATTTATAAGAAAGTTTAGGGTTGAGGGTTTAGCTCAGCGGCATAAGCACCTGCCTGGCAAGCACTAGGTAATGAGTTCTATCGCCGGTACCAAAAAAAAAGTTTAGTAAGGATATTTTACTATATGATTTGTAATATATTCTTACCTTTTTATTTCTAAAGTACTTTTGATTGCCTTGTACTTCCTTTTTACTCAATTAAGAGATTAAATTCTCTAACAATTTATGTCTTTAGTTTTTATATCCCTTCTCTATGGGTTTATTTCCTTTTTAGCTTTCTTTTTATAACTCATTAATTTGACACTTACTGAGTATTGTGTATAATTGTTGGATTACTCCGTTTTTAATATAGTAGGGGAGACATGCATGAACAGTGACAGTAGTGATTTGAAGACTGCACCAAGGAAGGGTGCTTAGTCCAGTTTTAGTAAGCAGTAGGGCTTCTCTAAGAGGCTGTATTTGACCTCAGTTGGTAATTAACATTGCTTGGCTAAAAGATGAAGGATTGAAGAAATATCACACAGACGTGCAGAACATGACACATTCGGAGAACAAGAGTTGGTATAATTGTGTTATTTTTAGGAAAGCAGTTGATTAAAGATGTAGCCAGAATACAGATGTCAGTCCTTGTTTTAAGAATTTGAATATTATCCAAGAGATAGTAACACTGAAATTATAACCTACATGAAAGAATAGTCAGTCCTCAATAAATATGTATTTTAGGAAGGAAGGAAGTGCTAGTTAAAGTCAAACTGCAGTGTCTTTTTATTATCTATCACATTGACATGATCCAGGGATGCCATTTCTGGGCTGTTAACTGAGAAGGAGAGGTTCGTGCAGGTTTGTGGTATTGTTTATAATGTCAAAAGGTTGGGAAATACTTTAATTGGTATCAGTCAGTGGGGGAAATTTACTGAACATCTGTGGAGTAAAATACTGTACAACCATAAAAATAAATGAGAAGATTTCATGTAATAATATGGAAAGCTCTGAAAGATATTTAATAAAAGCAGCATTAAAATTCTTCCTTAAAGTATATATAACCTTATTTTCTTATATACACTGATAATATTTAAGACAGGATACAAAAGAAACTGATATCTCTAAGAGGGGGAATGGATTGGTAGTTGGGATGGTTTGAGGGAAATTAAGACTTTTTAATTTTTAATTATTTGAATATTGCTTATGTAAAATGTTAAATGGAAAACTACTAAATCTTTTGAAATTATAGTCTTAAGCTTTATTTTTGAAAATACAGAAAATGTTTAGTTGGGTATCACTAAATTCTTTGATGATTTAAAATCTCAAATAATATTACTCCAGTACATTATAGTATTATGTTAATGTGAGTTCTCCAAAATATTTTAATTACCAGATGTTGTAGAAGATGTAAAAGAGGAGTGTCAAAAATATGGACCAGTCGTATCTCTGCTTGTTCCAAAGGAAAATCCTGGCAGAGGACAAGTAAGTCAGTGTATTAATAATTGTGGAATTATTCAAAGATTTACATTCTGTGTTAAATACGTTCTGTGAAAAGATGTATACAAAAATTTGTTAAGAAATAAGTCTTATGCATTATGCATGATAATTATTTTCTTGTGCTTTTTACTTTTTTCTAAAAACTTCTGTCATATACTTGCTTTTTAAAATGAGGCTTTTAAAAAAAGATATTAATCTATGTTTGAGTTGTCATAAACAGTGACAGCAGCTAAATTATATACAGGTTCATATACAGAAGTATTTGGTTCAGTTTTGTTGTCTTTAGAATTAGAAGGCCAGTTGGGTTAGGTTCTGGTTGCACTTGAAAGAAATCAGGTATGCTGGACTGAGAATCCTAGAACCTAAAGTTCTCACCTCGGTATGATTATTTTGATGAGCATTATGTTCCTCACTTAAAAAAAAAAATATATGGGCTAAAACTGATCAGTATTTTTATTAGAAAGCAGAGTTCTAAATTATAAATTAATATTTTAAGAAAATCTTTATCTATATTTTAAGTTTTAGAGAAACAGAATATTGCTTTACTATAAAGTTTCTTGGTTGTATCCTCTTGGCATTGGAGCCTGCTAATTCTTTATTGAAGGAGCTGGCCCGTACATTGTTGGATGTTTAGTAAAGCATCCTCAGCCTCTGCCCGGTGGATATTCCTTCATCTCCAATGGTAGACCAAAAATTTTTCTAGGTGCTACCAGATGTCCATGTGAGGGACAGCAGTAGAATAATCACCAGTGATTGTGAAGTATTATATATTTAATGCATGAAAAGTCTTGGCTACTGAAAAAATAAATTTGTTCTAGTCTTAGTGAAAAGTTATTACTAATCTAATAATACCATTTACCTCATTCATTGTCAAGAGCATGCTAATTGTATCCTTGATTTTTTACTTTGTTTTGTTTTAAAGAGGGTAAAACCAAGGAAAATAAAACAATAAAATCAATAAAAATAAACCAAAATAAGTGATACAGGACTTCCAAAACTTAACGAAATTAACAATAGTTACCACAATGCCTTTGTTGTCTTCAAAATAGCTGCAGATACTACCTTCAGGCATATTAAAAATCAAACAGAGCAATAAAATAGAAACAATAAAAACAAAACAATAAATGTAATAAAGATCTTCAAAACAAGCCAGTAATAAATACGTAATGGCTTTCATAACATGTCTTGCTATCTTTTAAATAGCTGCTCGCGCCATCAAAGTTAACATAAACAAAACAAAAGAAAATAACAACAAAGCAGCCCAACAAAGCAGTGGAAATAATATGATTTCCAGGCAGGGATCTCTTCCCTGTAGGGCCTGGTTCTCTCCTTCTGCAGTCTGCAAATGGCACTGACTCAAGGAGAGGCTTGGGTCTGGTTCTCCCCGTCCTGCAGTGGCCCAATCTGTATCCTTGATGTTTAGTTTTTTGACCAGTGTTTATTGTGGTTCTGTTATGTTCTAGTCTTTTGGCATACAATAGCAATCAGAGCACCAAAAAAATACAGTGTTAAAGTGTGGAGGGAAAAACAGATTGAGAAAATGGCCTAAAGAGTGCTGGAGTAGAATGCATTGTTCTTTTCCATCCTGGGTAGGAAAGGCGTACTAAGAAGTTTACATTTTGGTCAAGATTTGAATGGAGTAATGAAGTGAATTACAAGCAAAGGAAACAAGTTCTAAGTCTATGAACATACCAGGCAGATATAAGGAGACCAGTATGGCTGAAGCAGAGTAAGTCAGCAAAAGAATAGTAGATTAGATGAAAGAGGAGCTCAGGGAGTGTGGGGACAAAGCAAGTAGAGTGGGATGCCATTGGCTTTTACTGTGAATAAGAATAGCCATTAAGAACAGGTTTTGGGAGGCTTTAAATTAAGATTAAACATGATCTGACTCGATGTTAACCTCAGTGATTAAAATGAAATGGAAGACAGAATAGAGAAATATGAGTGATATTTCTAGCTGTAAGATGACATTAAAAATGTCTTGTTATTATAAATGTGAGGAAATTTGTTGTGTTGAGAGATATTTTTTTACTGATAGTGCATTTAAAGGGAACTGAAAACAGCTTTTGCTAAACTCTTGGGATCATAGATATAATTTATTTAGTCTGTTGAAAATATCTGTTACCTAGTTAATAAAGCCAGTCTTTGACTTTAGCTTTTCAGTTAAAGAGGACATGATTATCAAAGGAATACTACAAAAACCATTGGGAAATAAATTATGGATTCACCTTACAACTACAAAAACTAGTAAAACTTAAAAATAATAAAGCTTATAATTAATATAATCATAATAAATTAAGATACTTATTTAGGATGAAACAATATAGTATGTGAAATTATAGATTGTCTGTGAAGGAGGAACAATATAGAAAGTATGGTATTCTTTGCATTGATGCATGTCTCGTTGATTCAGAAGTAATTAAGAATCAGAAAAGTCAGAAACAGACTCATTTTCATTAGATACTACATTTTAAATTTCCTGTTGTGTTTAATGAAAAAGCATATATTGCTTAAAATCAGTTCTGTAGCCAACTATACTTTTATTTTTTGTAAAAAAATTATTTTAAAGATTAAAGAAAGCATTAATTCTATGTTTCATGACAGTTTTGATAATAACTTATTAAACTGTCTTACAAGAAATATATCTACTCTGAAAGAAATCAATACAATTTTATCAATTGTATTTTCACCATTGACACTTAACTGTTTTGCCCATTTGGAAGAGCATATATTTCCAGTTCATGGCATATTTTAGGGACAGGTTTTAAGACAGATGACAGATGCCACTTACCTTTATACATGTGTAAAAGGAAGTTTTTTTTTTTTTTTTTTTTGTCTTTTTCATTTTTATCGGTACCAGGGATCGAACTCACGACCGCCTGCTTGCAAGGCAGGTGCTTATGCCGCTGAGCTAAATCCCCAGCCCCGTAAAAGGAAGTTTTCACCGTAGATGATCTCACCTTTGTTTTTAAGTACCACAAAACAGTCATGGAATGGAAGAAGAAGCAAAATTTGCCTACCTCTCCTCTGTATATGAATTCAGAAAGCCCCATCACAGGCCAAAGTACTTGAGGTTAAATATCTTTTGTCATGCTTAACAGAAATATTTGCCTAAGACAGAATGACCAGTGTTAGAGGATAGGACTTTATCAATAAAGGAGAATTTTATAAAAATAGACTACTATATTGGAAACTTCATCCCTTCATATCTTGGAAGTTTTGATATCCTGTAGAAATATCTTTGGTTTTTTTCAAGCAAGAAAACTAGAAAATTAGAAAGAATAATGTGCCCAAACTTGTAAGTAGGTTGATTTTAGGAAAATGTACAAATGAAAGTTGAGGATGTAGAAATTGGTTTCCTTAAAATACTCTGTTTTTGCTTCTCCCTTTAAAGTCTTTGAATGTCCTAGGATGTTTGACCCTATGTGTGAAGACTATTGAAATAATGAAAGAGGGATACAACTGAGGAAGGAGGAGCAGTCTTTTTGGTCTCACTTAGCAGTTTATAGGGTAAACTGGGAGGAAGTCTTTCCAGATCATTTAACTTTAATGTAATTTTTAAGCCAGCAAAAGGAACTTGTAAATTGCTGTGTTGTATCTTTTCTGTACCTTAGATAAGAATTCAAAAGCTCTGGAAAAGGAAATACCTAGTTTTGAACTTATTCTTTAATACTTCCTTATGATTTATAGTTGTTCCAAGTATTTTAATAATTTCCAGTGGGTTTTGTCCAGTATTTTTTTCTTGGTCAACTTTGAAAAGAGCAGATTATCACTGGGTTACTGGTGAAATACAGTTGCTTTTGGAGCTGTTCAGAATTACTTCGGCAGTGTAGTGATGTTAATTACTCCTATATGAATTTGACAAAAAGTTACGCGTTTTTCACTCAACTTGTCTTTAATGGATTTTGAAGAGTTTAATGAATTGGACTGACTTCTGAGGAATGTTTTAAATCTTGTTGCTCTAAAGTATGGTACCTGGACCACCAGCATTGCCATCATAGTTTGTAACCAACTCTGGCTTTGTAACCAACCAAACTTTGGACATTGTGATACAAGTGGAATCTGCCTTTTAACAAAATCCTTAAGTGATACACAATTATGTGTTCCTTCAAATGACAGGTCCTGTTAATGGCAAGACCCTCTGAGAAGTGCATTGCTAGGTGGTCTCATAGTTGGGCATACTGACATATAGGATATTCTTCCAAGTAGCCTGTGTAACACCTAAGCTAGATGGTATAGCCATTTATTTCTAGGCTACAAATCCATACAGCATGTTACTACTGTACCAAGTACTATGGGCAGTTGTAATACAGTGGTAAGGGTTGGTCCAGCTAACTTACCTAAACACAGGAAAAGTATAGCAAAAGTATCAGCCACACAAATTTTCCAGGTCCATTGTAATCTTACGGGACTTGTGTCTTGCACTGTTCATCACTGGCCAGTATATTGTTGTTCATTGTGTGACTGCATTACATTAAATTTGGTGAAGTGCTGATCGTGGTGGAAACTTGGTTTTCTCTATTCTTTTTCAGGTCTTTGTTGAGTATGCAAATGCTGGTGATTCCAAAGCTGCTCAGAAATTACTGACTGGAAGGATGTTTGATGGGAAGTTTGTTGTGGCTACATTCTACCCGCTGAGTGCCTACAAGAGGGGATATCTCTATCAAACCTTGCTTTAATTGATAACCTAAGGACTATTTCTTGTTTCTCCTCTTCCATTTTCTGGATCATTATATTCTATATCTGAATACAGGAGCACCCTTTTACCATTTTAAAAGGGTGCTTTGTACATTTATTTAATCCTACCAATGTGCAGTCATTGCCCTAGCAATGTTGCATTACAAACTTTTGGCACCGAGTAGGACAAGACCTCTCAGCTATACAGTGAGGGGTTGTAGAGCATCCATGTGGGCAACCTTGTTTTGTGTAGTATGGCAGGTGCTGCTATTCCGTATGTAACCTCCAAAGACATTTTATTTCATGTGATCATAAAGCAAGGATGAATAATACGTCATAGTGAATATTATTAACAAATTTAAGGTTGGTGACATCAATTACAGCTTATTCCCTTTTGTGGTCAGGTGGTTCTTATTATTGAAATCCATAACTGGCACTGGACACGCTCAGTAATGTTAAGTAACTGTCAAGCAGCAATTACCTACTGTGTTCTTAACACTGAGTTATGAATTTTTTTTAAAAGGAGTACTGTAGTACCTGATATTCCTTTAAAGAAACTGCAGTGAGCCTATCTGCATTTTTAATTATTATTAAGGCTTTTAAAATAGAAAGCTGATGCTTGATCTTGCACAATTTTTATGTCTAGTATGTTTGTTTGAGTGAGTGTGCAGGTTGAAAGATTAGAGAAAATTTGAGTCCGTGTACTTAATAGTGTGACTCTTGCGAGCCAATACAGTCTATACCCATATCTTCCCTGCCTGTTTCATACCTGTAAGATTGAAGTTATATGTATTTTGAGAGTTGATGTGCTGATAGAATGTAAGTGATGGAAAAGTTCATTCCTGAAAGCCTCAGAACAAAATGGAGAAGAGACTAAGGTTATACTGAAACTCCTCAAGTGATTGGAATAAAGAAGGAGTTTTGGTACATGAAAATGATCCCATTCTTCAGTGTACTTTTAGAACCTGGGTTGGCTCATCTTTTTTGTATTGAATCTGCTATGATAATTATAAAATTTCTCAAGATGTGCTTCTACCTATTATAATGAAAAATTGAGGTAGATTAAAAAGATTAGGTGTATATTGAGAGGAAAAGAAAAAAGGCAAAGAGCATCATCAAGGATCCTGTGTTTCTTCTTTTCTGTCTCTTGTTCCTCTCCCACAGCCGTTTTTTCCCTTCCCCTATTTTGTGCCTCTGTTCTTAGCTGAAGAGAAGCCCGAGGAGCAGCATCCCAAGTGGTCTAGCTTTTGACTGTATGGAAGTAAAGGAAGGTGTAGATATAATAAAGTAGGAGTAGAAAGAAAAGAAAAAAACAGTTCTTAAAAGAATTCCTAATATGTCTCTGTGTAGAGAATGCCAGTATGCATGACTTTGTGGAACAGGTTCATTACATGGTAAGAATTCTAAGTATGATTTCATACCATATGGTAGATTGTTTTTTAAAGTATAAAAACAAGAAAATCTTTATAAAGTACTGAGTATACAAAAAGGACAAGTTATATATGTTATGAATTTTTTTCCTATTTCCTTACCTGAATGAAATTATTTATTTTTTCTTAACGGAAAAGTCTTTCATATGTTTTCCTGCTGGAGCCTCCTTATAGTCTTTCTTTGTGAGTGCCATGCAGGTTACTGAGAGCCTGACTAGAATTTGCATGTTTAAACAATCACTATTTGACATTTTAGTTACTATAATAATCAGAATTGTTCAGGACTCTCCCTTAATATTTATTATGAAGCCAAATTTGGTATAAGGTGGCTGACTTATGAATTACCAAAAGGCCTTTAGCATGGTCCCCAGTACGTGCCCTTAGAAAAAACAACTGATTTTCTTTGTTTTGCCCTTTTAGGGGTTGATTGGTTGAGTCGTTGTTAAGTCAGAATTCAAAAGAGTACAACCAGTATTTTGAAGACTTAATCTTTCCATGTATATTTCTATGGGTAGCTGCATTGTGGCAGTTAGAAATAATCCTTTACTGATAAACACACAATAAAGATGAATTTTTTTTATGATCAGGAATTTGAGGTTAGCTCATGTACCTCTTCCCCTGACCTATAGGGAAAAGAGAAATTCTTGCAAATAAACTGCAGGTAAGCTTCTGAGCTTACTCGTGCAGTATGCTGCTAACATTGATGCTGCACTTCCCAGCATTCTTTGGTCACCGTCTTATTGCAGATTATTCATACATATGTAGTGTGTAATACTGTAGAATTTTATTACAGAAGATTCTAATTCGATTTTAAGGGAGCTGAGGAAGAAGTGATGAGCCTGAATAACCATGCATTGAATTAAATATTTTATATTAAAGTCACAGAATTGAAAAAAAGACATCTGCTATGATTTAAATTGTCATTTTATAGCTTTTATCCCATTCTACCAAAGATGACATTTGCAGGTTCTTCCACCCTTGTGTTATTAGAAGTTTAATCTTAATGTTTTTCTTAAACTAGAACCAAATATTATTAAAGATGCAGTTTTCACGATTCTTTTAGGATGGAATATATACATAGTAATTTTGATTCCTTGAAGTTACTGAAAAATTAGAAATTTTCTAGAGAGGCAGGGTAAAGAGCTGGGAGTTCATGTCGTTTTGAGCAGCTGTTTTGGGCCAATTTATCTCAGGTAGTTTATTTTTCCCTAAATTATTATGTGTGCTTCCTTTCCTCTCACTTTGCCAATTTCTTCTTTATTGTTCCATGGTATTGCCGTGGCATATTCTGCCCCAGAAAAAGCATATAAAATGATTATAGAAAATTGGGGGTTCTTTGGAAACGTATCTGGAAGTGGAAATGAGCTCACCACTATCAAAATTATAGTGGTGTATTTAGAAAAGAACAAGAAGAGCGCAACAGTTTGTTAAGTTAGCACTAGCTGAAAGTAAATGCAGTAAAGGCTGCATTTGAAAGAAATTGAAATAGATTGTCCTCTTGCAAGAAGGGATCAGCATTTTTCACCACTGGGTGTCTTCCTTGTTCTTAGCCAGCAGCACAGTAGCTGTCTTCAGAGTAATTCCTTTTCTGCTACCTTGAGCCAAAAGTATTTCTGCTTCTAAGACATAATCCATACATACAGTTGTACTCATGCTGTTCTGTTTTGAGAGAAGTATGGCCTCTTTTTTGGTACTCCCACTGCTAAGGAGTGCTGCCACATAGAGGAAGCTGGGCATAGTATTTGTTTCCATCTTATTACACTGGACTTTCCCCCTAGTAAGGGCAGTAATTTTCTGGAATAAGTGAAAGGCAGAGTTAGAGCATTCATCAGGTACTTCATGGTTCTTTTGAGTTCATTAATTTTCATAAATTCTACTATCGGTTGTACTTTGCAGTATGGCATTTTACTTTTTATAATTATAATGCAATGAAATCAGCACCATAGTAACTGATTAATTAGAATAACAGTTACTGGACAAGGGAGTTAGGGAGACATTCGGTAAAAGATACCACACACTCATGCAAGGGTGTATGGTAGATGGCTTTATTCAGATTAGGGTACAGACGAATCACATCAGGACCTTTATTCTAGTGGATGTGTAGATAAAAACTAGAGCAAGTGCCTTGTTTTTCCTGGAAAATATTAAAACTCATTTGAGAGAAAACTTCCCAAAAGATGATTAATTGTACTTTGCCTTTTTCTTGGAACAACTTTTAGATTGAGTCACATAATAGAAAAATCCAAAATTTCCTTAGTGATGTTTTTGGAATATGTAAATCTATTCATATTTGCTTTTATTCCAATATTACATATAATGGAAGAGCTTATTAGGCAGAATATAATTCTTCCTTAAATCTAGTTCTATATCTGATGTCAGGTTCCTTCCTCAAATCTTACTACTATAGCTCTGTCATATCATTTACTTGTCAAATTTAATCACATATAGACCATTTCTTGGTCATAGCTCAAAAGAATTCTTATGTCTTAAGGTGCTTGGTAAATCGTCTTTATTTTGGGATGGCATCTTTCAAGTTACCGTAGCACCACATAACTAATTAGTTTTCACAGTGAGTTTGCACATGTTAAGTTGCCTTCATTTGCAGCTCCTGTCAGCTTCCTGTGGTATATTTAGTTTTTATGTAGTTAATCAGGAACATGGACATTTTACTTTTCAGAGTACCCAGAATTTTAAAAGATTTAATTTTGTTTTAATTTAGCTTCTTTACTTGATACCATAAAAAGGATATCGTATTTGTGATTCTGGCCACTCTTCCCCCACCTGCTGTTTTTCATTGTTAAATTGTATGCTTACCAGTGACATGCAGTTGACAAATACTATGGATATTTAAGAAGGAGGTTAATAATTTTTAATATTTTTGCTGTAATTTTATAGGATAAATGACTAAAAATTTATAAACTAGAAAGCATTTAGGGAATTTTATATTTTATAAGTGGTCATGGGGATGATCTTCAGGATATGATAGTTTTCACAAACTTTGTTCTGATCCAAAGTTTTTATTCATTTCCTATTGTCAGCACTTTTGTTCTTTGTACTGCTTACGGTATTTTACATTTGCTTTATTTGTGCTTTTCAGAGAATTATAATCATGGCACTTATGTTTCTGGTACCATAAATGCTGAAATTCATGGGAAAATGATCAAACAGTTGCCTGAATATTATTTCCCATTCAATTGGGTAGCTGCCACTATAACCTGAAGAATATTGATGGCTCAATTGGAAACCATTTATGTTTTATGAACTAAGTTCTTAGTATTGTACTTAAAGGCAAAGAGAAGCATCCTTAACTTGCATTACATGACTATTAATTTTTGTCTTGCAGAAGAAAACTAATATTATTAAACTGTTTTATATGATGACAGTGTCACATTCTAGGGGGAAAAAACTGGAATTGTTCATTTTTGATTGCTTCTTTTTAGAAAACCCTCATAGTAAAAATCAGAGCTGCTTGCTTCCGTAAGGTATTGATTATTAATGAGAATTATTTGTGCGCCCCCCCCTTCAAAAAAAATCCCAGATTGGATTCTCCTTCCTCTTGTTGCTTATGTCTCCTTAGTAATATTCATGATGTTAGGACATGAGTTTAAAAAAAGCAAGTGTAATAAGGTATTCTAAAATGATGCATATTTGGATTCAAATTCTCTTCAATCATTTGAAATATCTATAGTTGTTTTATTTTATTAGCATGGGTTTTCAGAAAACTGCTAAACTTAATAAGGAAGAAAAAGATTGAGGATGAGGAGAAGAAAATGGCTCCCTTACTGGCATTAGTAATCTTCCATGTGGCTAATGATTTTTAAATGTTTATTTTTTAACCTGTAGATTTCATACCTATAGTGTAGAAACATTGCCTTTCCTATACATTCCTTATACTTTCCCAGAAAATTGTTCTAAGAGCTTATGAAACCAGATTAAATATCCATATTTGATTTATCTGATTTTTAAGAGTAAATATTTCAATTTCAGCTTTTGTATATTTGGTGTTCATTGCCATTCATGTGCATCAAGGCTCAGAAAGAAACTGGAGATTAACCATGTTTCCCTTTGCACACTGGGTACAGTGGGTGGCGTTAGTATGCACTAGCTACAAAGTACTGCACCTTATGGAACTAAGTGGGGTTTATTTATAGTCATAAAAAGTTAAGCTGCACTTCTATATATTACTTACTTGGCAGAGTGTAGAGCCACATCTTGCCCAGCAGGATTTACTCCTCCATTCTTCATTCTTCTTTGAATATCTTAAATAATTTAACATTCCTTAATGTCCTCTAACAGTGTCAAATCTGGGGTAGAAGGGATTTTTCTCTCCAAAAGGGCTTTAGTTTTGCTGTATTTTTAAATCACTTTTAGAAATCCAGTTATGATTAATAAATTATGGCCTCCTGTGTCAGCACTGAAGTGGTAGGTTATAATACTGAAATCTACTACTCTGTTTCCCTTATTAACACGTAATTGCTGTGCTTTGATAAAAAGGTTTTTGGTTAGAAAAAAATGTGAAAGATCACTTAAACCAAAGCCAGTTACTAGGAGTATTTTCTCCTGTTGGTTTACCTTCACCTCAGAATTACAAGAACATCACAATACACAGTAAATAGTTGTCTATAACATTTCTACCAGTTGTTTCAATTGGTCTTGGCATTTCTTGGCACTATGGTTCTATGTTTTTTGTGACGTCATATTGTTTGTGAGGTTTTTTCTTAATAAGTAAGTGGGACTGTAAATGTAGATGTTTGTCAGAACCAAGAAGTTCTTTGTTCAAATCTTTAAATTTCTGTTTTTAAACTTGTTCTTTTCTGCTGAGTAGCAAAGGACTTTCATTTTCCACTTTTCCTATATACCTAAAAGTATGAACACTGAGTTTCAATGGACTGTATTGTGAACTTTTTGCTGAGAACTTTTTTCTGTAAACACAATTGCCTTGTTCAGTTTTGTTGTAAACTGACTTACCATAAGATGCACTGTTGATATGCTTTCTGATGTGTGTTTGATAAGAGTGATAAAATAAAACAAAAATAAAGAAACTGCTTTTATGTATTTCTATACTTATTATAGTATTCAGGTTCAGATAAGAGGTAGATACATTCATTATTTAATTTTTACCAAAACCATCTATTGAAAAGATTATCATAGTTTCAACTATTTCTAAAGAACATGATTTTTCACTTTTGAAAAAGTGAATCAATTTGACAGTAATAAAATAAAATTATTCACTCCGAATAAATGCCTCAAGTACAGAAATAGTCTGGCCTGGTGAAATTCACAATTGGGATCTGTGATCTGATGATGGCTTTTTTATCAAAATCTTTAATCAAGCAACTTTTAATTTTGTGATTTTGTGTTTTGAAGACCAAGTAAAATAGTAGATATAATAGTAATAAACATATCAGGTATGGTGATGGATACTATTTTTCATAGTTTTCCTTTTTACACATGAGAAGTGAGAGTTAACATTTCATAAAATGAGGTACACAGGCATCCAGATGGTAGACATTTTTAGGAGGGATGTGCTTAGAGGCTGTTTTGAGAGCTCAGCCTAAAGACTAGGAATACTTAAATCAGCAACTTTTATACTGTAGCACGTAGCAATCAGCTGAGAGGGCATGGTTACAGATTGCTGAATACAGATTATTGTGCCCCAACTCTAAAGAGTTTTTGACTATAGTTCTTTGTGGGTCTGAAAATCAGGTTGCTGTTAGTCTGAATACCACAATTTGGCATAGTCTGAATTCAGTGTTGGTTGTGGGATTGAAATGCAGAAGCAGGTCCAAATTGCAGAGCTAGTTGGGAGTCATTCTCAGTCTTTCTTTCTCCTTGACAGTTGCAGTTGTAACTGTTTGAACATTATTTGCTGCCAGATGCTGTACTAAATGCTTTTATGGATTATCTTCTCCCACTGCCACCACGTATAATTTTCACAAACCTCTGAGGAAGATAACTAGTATTCATTCCCTTTTACAGAGAAGGAAATAGATGTTCAAGTTAGCTCAATTCGTATAATTCGCATGGTGAGTAATGAATGTCTAGCTCTGTAGTTGTGCTTTTGTTACCACTGCTAGAGACAATGCAGAAAATCCTTTTCGCTGTCTTTTGTTTTCTCTGGTACTACTTAGTTTAGTTCTTGAACTCTCCCTAGTACAGCTTCATGTAAGATTGCCTACCTTCTACCTGATGCCTCCAAATGTCTTCTTCAAACTGCTTACATTTTTCATTCTTAAAAATAAGCCTATATACATGCTACTCCCTGCTTTAAAATTAATTTTGTTTCCCATTTCTTCTGCCCGTTTGTCTTCAGAGTAATAATCTAATCCTCTTAAATTGGCATAAAAGATGACAGTAGGATTGATAGGTCAGTCCTACTCACCTGTCTCCTTTTTATGCTTCATGTCTCAGTTGTACTACCTGTGTTTCTGCAAGTTTTTCCTGTGACTCATCAAAATACCTGTCAACTCTGTGCCCCCACCATATCTGTGATGAAATACTGTTTATTTTCCTTTGCTCAGTTGTTACCTATCATTCTTGTTACTCCACCCTCCAACCCCATTATGGCCATACCCAGGTTATAGTAAAAACTGTCTCAAAAAGTACTTGTGGAGTTGAAATGAATTTATAGAATCTGGTAGCCATTTGGGCATGGATGATACCAGTATTGCAAAGAATGACAGTTCAGTAGTTTACTTCAGTGAACCATATATAATGCAAAAGGATTTATACAGTTATAACATGTAACCAAGTGAGGCATGAATATTACTGGCAATTGATTAATTTACAAAAGAATTTGGAAAAATAGAGGTTTTTTGGATTTCAAAAATATTGCAGAGCCAGGAATATAGCTTAGCAGCACAAATGCCTAGCTGGAAGCATGAGCTCAATCTTTGGTACCAAATAAATAAACAAGTTTCTGTTTCATAAAATTAGGAATCGGAACAACCAAAACCCTCAGTCCCTTAGCACAAATATATTGAACTTCCTAAATAAATTTTGAATTTAAAAACATGAATTTTGGGCTGGGGATTTAGCTCAGTGGCATAAGCACCTGCCTGGCAAGTGTGAGGTCATGAGTTCAATCCTTGGTACGAAAAAACCCACAAATTTTATTATGTCTTACAGGTTTTTCTGCAAGTTTGAAAAAGATTTTTCTTTTTATTTTAAAGAGAATAAAACCAAGCAAAATAAAACAGAATAAACCTAATCAAACCAGTGTGATACTGGACTTCAATAGGAAATCAACAATGGTTATCATAGTGCCTCTTAGCTGATCGTACCTTCCAACATAGTAAAAACCAAACAGAACAATAGACTAGAACCAATAAAAACAAAAAACAACAGTGAATGCAATAAAGGACTTCAAAATAAGATAATAATAAATCTGAAATGGTTACCATAATATATCTTGCTATCTTTAAAATAGCTGCTCATGCCATTGGATATAACAAAATCAAACAAAACAAAAGATAATAAAACCCAACCCAGCAAAACAATGGAAATGGTACAGGACTTCAAAACAAGATAACAGAATAAACAATGGTTACCACCTTCAGAAGAAGATCCCCCATAGATGCTACATTGTGTATTGTTATCCTTTGAATAGATAACCAGACTACCAGCTTTACATCTGCAAAGTCAGTGAAACACTAAACACTACAAGCATTAAATTATATTTTGCCACAGTAGCTATCATTGCATCGTGTGTGTTTTTCTGGATCAGCCAGTCTTTTATAGTGGGGGTGGGCTTTGGCTCTTTTTGTTCCCCAGTCTGTGTGCCAGAAGGGGCTGGCATCTGGCTCTCCCCACAGCAGCCTTCACATGGTGCTGATTTGCAGTGAGGGCTTGCTTCTTGTTGACTTCTTGTTCTCTTCCTTGCAGTCCACAAATGGCCAAAAAAGAATTTTTGACTTATAAATTACAAGGAACTTGCAGCACGTTATTCCTAGAACATTTCCAAAAGCCATGTTTTACCTGTGTACAATTACAAGTTGTATATAATGCCTTTACATATGTTTCAGCATCTTTACATATGAAATGATAATGCTCAGATCAGTTCAAGGGAAGTGGATGATTGAAGGCTTTATATGCATGTACCAACCAAATTACATGTTTCTCAATTTGTGAAGATCTGACAGCTGTTATACCAAGGATCTCTTGACAAAGCTGTTCACTGAGATCAGTTTGTAAAGTAGTGAGACCTCATGTTGATTTTTTGCTTGAAAACATTTTTCAAACCTGCAGCAAAAATTACTGCTACATAATTAGATTACATTTAGATTTTTAAGATAACAGACCTTTAAGGAAAAAGAGCAATGAGTGAAAAAAGATAGTTGAGATTTTTCAGTAAACTTTGGAAGATATAGCTCCTAAAAGAGGAATGTACTATAAGTAAAAGTGAACTGTCAAGGTAATGTATTTGGTCACTTCAGTGGCATGGCATGAACTGCATTTTTTTTTTTTTTTTAGCAAAACAGAGAAAAGGGTAGAAATAATACACAATTTCAAAAAAAGTAAGAAATCAACACTAGTTAATATACTGCACATTGTTATTTAGAAGTAGTTGCTCAAGTTACAAAATCAAAGCATTAAAAATGATCAGACAATTGAACAATGACAGCTCAAACTATTTTTCTTGGTGAACTAGCAGAGAGTTGGTAATATGGTCATCTATCTTGCATACTTAAACATACACTCAGTTATATATGTGTATATATACCTACAAGTTGTTCTTTCTTTTTGAGCATTTTCCCTTTGATTATTACAATATCTATTGTACATTTTGGATTTTATTACTCTTTCAGTTTTTCATTATTTATTTTTTACACTAGAAAGACTACAATATTTACAAATGTGAGTTTGATTTATTCCATTTATGAGTATATTCTCAAATGCCTGCATTTGCCTATAAAAGCCTCAAGATCTTCCTTTTTATAGCTTATTAATATTCCATTGTGTGAAATAACCACATCTTTTTCATCCATTCTGCAGTTGAGCATTTTGGTTGTTTCCCAGATTTAGCTATTACAAATTGTGCTGCTATAACATTGGTGCACATATATTGCTGTGACATGACATTTTCAATTTTTCTGGGAAAATACCCAGGAGGGGAATATCTGGGTTGAATAGGACTTCCAATTCTGTTTGTTTTTAGGAATCTTCACATTGATTTCCACAGTGGCCACAGCAGTCTACACTCCCAACAACATGGAACAGTGTTCCTTTTTCCCCACAGCCCCGCCAACATTTGTTATCAGTTGATTTCTTGATGGCAGCCATTCTTTCTGGAGTGAGATGGAATCTCAAGGTTGTTTTAATTTGCATTTATCAAATGACCAAATACATTTCTTCATGTTTTTATTTGCCATTTGTATATCTTCATCTGAGAAATGTGTATTCATCTCAGATGGCCATTTTTGGAGAGGGTCTTTGAATTTGGGGGGCTTGATGTTTTTCAATTCTTTATATGTTCTGGATACCTTGGTCTGAGGGAGTGAGGGCTAAAATTCTTTCCCATTCAGTGGGCTTTCTTTTCAATTTGTTGGTGATTTCTTTTGAAGTGCAAAAACCTTTGAATAAGATGGGATCCAGTTTGTTGCTTCTTTCAAGTATTTCCTGTGCAGTTTGCATTTTATGAACTCTTTGCCTACCCCTGTGTCTCCAAGACTTGTATCCACTCTGTATTCCAGTAGATTTAGTGTTTTTGTTTTAATATTTAGATCTTTGATCCATTTTGACTTTAGTGCATAGTGATAGACATGGATCTAGTTTCAGTCACTGGCATGTGGAAAGCCAATTTTTCCAACATCATTTATTGAAGAGGCAATCCTTCCAGTGAACATGTTTAGCTGCTTTGTCAAATATCAGGTGGCTGAGTGTCTTCGTAGTTGTGATTGCATCTTCTAATCTGTTTCATTGAACCTCAGGTCTTGTTCTTTGCCAGTACCTTGCTGATTTTATCACTGTAGCTTTGTAGTATAATTTCAAGTCAGGAATCGAGATGCCTCTTGCCTTGCCTTTGTTGCCTAGAATTGCCTTT